AGCAATAGTTCAGAAGAAACTATTCAATAATTTTGGTTTAAAAGAAAGTATCTCTGGATTATTTCTTTCTGGAGGCCAGAAGATACATATAGTTCAGCCTGTACTGCAATATTCAATAATTTAACCTCTATTTTATTAAGAGAAGGGCAAAATCTGCATTACTTTACCCAATCTTAGGACTGTTTTACGTCAGACGAAACAGAACATTCACTAAAGTCAAAAGACATTTTAGTGAGACAAACAAGAAAGAAGTTAGAGGGTAAGCGTTGTAACAACAAAACACTCAGAAATGTTCAGACTGGTATGAATGGAAAGACCAGGAAAACAAGCGGCAGGTGTTTGAGGGCAGGGAAGAAGGGACAGGACTCTTTAGAGCTGGGAAAGAGATCGCATTTTAAAGTTGAGCAAGCTTTGCTACTTGGGGCTTGAAACCTGACTGTATTTTAGGAACAATCCCACAGCAGTAGGGCAAGGAAGGTAGTGAGCCAAGAAATCAGTTTCGACAACAACTCTGTAGTTGATGGGATTTTGTAGGACGTGGCAAGTCACTTAAACTAAAGGGTTATCAAAACATAAAACAAGCTCTTAAAAGTTTCTTTAATTGTATTAATAGTTACTATTATTACTCAGTTTCAGATTTTTAACCATTTTTGCCACTGCTATTTTCCATTATGGCATGTTTGGATGAAGAAAACTTGCTAGTCGGCTGAATTAACTATAACATGTTTTCAGCCCGTTTCTCTTTCTAAGCGTCATAATCAAACAAGAACGAATGTCTGTACTCGATCGTGCTGTTTATCACAGCTCCCTTTTCCCCACACTTCTCACGTACACACAGCCCCTCATTCAAACCCATAAGATGATCTATGGCAGTGTGCACCTGAGACCCAGCTATGGTCAACTCAATTTCACAACTGCAACAGTTTTTAACCTCACCTCAAAATAAAAAGCTGAACATTTAAGTTTCTAACAAACACTATCAGGACGTAGTTACCTGCGTCCTGTTAATCACACACAGAACACACACTGCCATAAAAAGAGCCCATTTCTCCTATCCTCTGATTAAATTCCATTCAAACTAACGGTAATCTGTTTGAATTCAACTATTGGTCTGCAGATTATGCATGCAAACTTTACATATTTTCTATATACTTCTGCTTTTTAGCACTTTCACTCATCAAGCAGACAAGTAGTAACCACAGTTTCTAAATAGTTAATAATACTGATTTGGTTCTTCTGCATATTTCTAAGGTCAATTCATCAGAAATACTACCATCAGAGTTATGACTTCTCACAGTAGCATGACAGCCACAAAAAATAACCTATACCCAAGATTAAGAGAATTGCTTCCAGTTCTTCAGAAAATAACTTACCTACTTCCAGAATCCTATTCAGAAACTCCAAAAATAATTTTAGCAAGGCCCTGATGAGAGTACATTATAAGGTTTCAGACTGTATAATAAAGCTTAACAGCATATAGAACAACAAGCTCAAATGCACAGATATCCGCAGAAGAACTGACCATAGTCACACCAGTGCCAATCCAGACAATGTGGCTTGATGGGGGACCAGGTGAGGGGATAGAAAAGACATAAAAGACAGCTATTGGTTGCAGAGGCATAGTTATTTCTTAATGCACTCTGCTTTCAAGATGAATCTTTAAATTGAATGAATCTAAATAACAGAAGGTTCTAAAGAATAAGAAATTGAGTTTGAAGCAGCATTGTGAAGGTATGGAGCAGCACCATAACAAAGTCGTTTCTTTAGGGGCCAGTTGTAGCTTCAAAGGAAAGATTTGCCTAGGGCAGAAACTCAGCACAGAATCTGCAACCCTGATTTTTAATTAGGTAGATTTTGAAAGGAAAAATCTTTGCTATTCCAAAAATAAGTTTTCTACTTTAAGGTACATGATGTGATAAAATAATTGATCATTCTTGGTTGGTGATAACAGTAGCTAAAATATTTAGATATTAGCCTGTTTTCAATGTGGTACCTCTGGTAACACTAACAAGAGCTTTGCTGCCCACAGACTCAGAGTCCACAACATTTGCAGAACAAAAGCTGCCTTTGTAATTAGATTAAACCTCTGTTTCTGGAAACCCACTCACAGGTAGACTCTTCCCATAATAAACACGTAAAATATCTGCAAACATCACCTAGTTAACCTTTGACACCATGAAGTAAGCGAACGCAGCAGCAGCAGCAGAATTCAAGAAACCTGGTTTCCTCAAGCAAAGTGTAGGTCCTCTTGGGTCTATTAAAATAGTTGGATTTATACCACAGCCTTTGCATGAGAGCAGATGCAGAAGGATGGGAGGGGAGGCACAGATAGGGTCATTCTGTGAATTTTCACAATATTTTAAGATCTAACTCTCACAGATTCAGCAGAAAAGGGTCAACATAGCAAAAATTATTCAGGTGACAAGGAAGGTGGAGAGGCAGACAGTGAGGGAAAGCTGGCACATTGTGAATAAACTAGGCTAAAATTAAATGTCTAATCGTTCTGCCTAGCCTAAAATTGTTTGAAAAACCCAGAGTTTCAGGTAGCAACAAGCATTTTGTCCGTGAAAATGAAGTCAATTCAAGACACTTCAAGAGGCTTCAAAAGAAGAACAAAGACTGACATTACTTTAACGGAGGGCACTGAACCTTTCAGCATTTGAAGGAGTGCAGGTTAACAGCTGGTTTTCTCGAGGCAGCACTGTAGCAGGCAGACACCACTCTGGGCTTCATGCAGCAGTGGGAGAAACAAGTCTGCAAACCAACCACCACCATTTTTAAGTCAGTGTGTTTAAGCCAGTCTTGCACAGGATTAAGCAAGACATTAGTAAAAATGTCAGTGGCTCATTACTATCCACACACCCATTTTCTGCTGAAACCAAAGCAGCTACCTCAGGGTTAGAATACGAGAAGAGTATTTTCAGGCAAAACTCTATGTGATGTTGAAACAGTTATAGACTTGTGCCCAAAAGCATGGCATCTTCAACACTGGCCCTGAAAACCAGAACCCATTTTCAAGAACAAACATGCTATGTCATCTGCTTGGCTCCAGCGAGGATACTCACACATCTATTTGGATTTCTCCATGACGTGAGCTTTAAGGCATATGTAAGCAGAGAAGGAGGCAAAGAACAGTGATGGTGAGGAAGGAAGTGAGATGGTACTTTAAATCAAAGGTAGGGGCATCATCTCCAGCACACAGATACATATGCACACTTTTGCTTCATGTTCACGTGCATTTTGTGCATGTATTATAAAATCAAATAAAACATGCTCTGAACATTTGGGCTTAGAGCAGCTTCCCATTTGCCTCACAACTTTATAAACACAAAAATATGTGAAAAAAGACAGCATACTCGGAATAAGACTAAGTTTGTAATAAGGAGAATCCTGAAGCAGGTACGCAGAGTACAGAGACACCTGAAAGAACATTGCTTGCTTTTACATACAACAATTAAACATTAACTCTGACCTCTATGGTATTTTTTACACGTGAGCATACCAGCTGCATACACAAGCCCATTACTCCTTGCACACATCTCCAACGCTAAGATCCTGTATTTTTGCCATCACGAGAACCCTAATTCTTCCCAATTCCGCCTCAAAGATCTGGGCACGTTCAGCTTGCACCTGGGACACTTACTAGAGCTGTGCTCAGAGAGATCTAGATGACCTGATAACACCAAGGACTCCAAACGTTTCATTCTGATCAAGAACCTTCTCCAGTCACTGTTCATTATTCTTATACAAGAACAAAGATAGCAAAAAGATCTTTCTTCGTTCATTTCCAACACTTCTGCAGCCTCACATTGTCAGATTAACTCATGAAGTCTGTGCTTACTGCATCTATTTAGTGGCTACTAATTTAGTTAGTGCCTACTAATTCAACAGATAGGTGCTCTTTCCAACCTGTCTCTCTAACATATACAAAGCGGAACACAGGCTAAATTCTGTACTTACAACCAAGGAAAGATACAATGAATATGAAGTCAGAGCTGAGAAAACCTTGTGTGCTATAAAAACAACCATAATACCTAATGTATATGGCCCTCTAAGGAGAAGTTATTAACTTATGCACATAATTACAACAAAACAGACAAAGAAAAGCAAAAATCAGTCCCCGCAGCCAGGTTCAGTGCAACAAGAGAAAGAAAACGAGAAATGCAGACCTTAAGAGACCAGCTACAGGTTTTCTGATGCACGTTACAAATGCATAAATTGACCACGCATCAGTACATCATGCACAAACCAGGGACCACATAAGGAACTATTAAAGGGCACAAGGGAATTGGCATGGCAAAAAGGAAACGAGCCTTTACATTCTGCATTAGCCACTGCCACATTGCTGAATAATACATCACCTTAAAAGTATTTGGTAAGGTGATAACTAATCAGCATTATCAAAACAATGCAGCAATTCTTCTGGTGTCTTAGTTAGGCCTGCAAAAAATCCATATGGTCCTTTACTGTTTACAGAGGGGTATTACCCTGGGATTTTGGAAGACTATTTGCATGAGTCAAAAATAAGCTTGGCTTCATTGCTGAATCTCTGTCTTCGAGGGGGTTTTCAATTCCAAATTCTCAGGGAATAAGAACAGTCCTGTGTCCCCCCCAGCCCCCATTTCAAGCGACAGTTCAAAAGCAGGAATTTCAACCCTTCTGTACTTCAAGTATCCACCAGATTATTCAACTGAAAACACATCAACTCATCCTTACTCCAGTATTGTAACCATGACTTCATTTTTGAAAAACAGGCCTCATCCTATTGAATGCCACCAAACATGTACCTTATCCTTTAGCTCAAATATATTTTGCATGACCTTACATGAATTGCTTAGATAAAAGCCTTTTTTCTTCTACTTTTGTTATTTTAAAGTGCAGATGCATTTGAGTCATTTTCCCCTTTTGTTTCATATCCTTAAGATCCACAGCTTCAAAGACAAAATGTCAGCATGCAGTCGATTTATGACTGAACTCTTGAAGAGACACTGAAGAATTACCTTGTCAATCACCCCAAGGACTCTGAAGGCCTTCAGTTCCTCGGCAGGGCTCCTTAGGTTCCAAGAGGGCCTTGAACTTAGTGATCCTGGAGGCTAATGGAAGATATCAAAGATTACACATCAATCAGGGTGGTACTTGAAGGAAGACTGCCTGCTGAAGCAAATGCCAGGCCGAAGGAAACTAAATTTATCATAAATCAGAGAGAGTGAAGATGAAAGGAGAAGTTTTCTGTTTGTCCTTAGTGGGGGGAAAAAAAAAAACAACTTGCAAGTAAATAAAAATCGAGGTAACATTGAAAACAAAAATTGCAAAAAGAAAAAATAATGAATTTTTATCCTTTCTATGCTTAATGGAACTTGGCAATCGATTATTCAATTCTTAACCCATCACAGTAATCAAGCAAAGCCTTACAGGTATTCTGGATACAAAATAATTCAGACATCACTGAGGAAGAGAAAGCAAATTAGAGGCTTTTTAAGTCTGAAGAACATAAATACAGAATTATAAACAGGGTTCTCCTGCTCTCTGGTAAGCTTTACGAAATCCTTTTAATAACAAGGTGCACAACAGAAACGATTCCTAAAACTGCCTTAGAAAAAGGTGGCTAGCTATATATCATTAATCTATAAATTAACACCACAGCAAGAGAATTGGCTAACTATTCAAGTAGTTAATACGCACAGATTTTTGCCCATGCTATGTTTTGTCGTTTCTCAGGGCAAACTCAAAAGCTTGCATGTCAGAGGAGGGAACAACTTTTCGACTGGAAGTCTTCTGGGACAAAGATCAACCTCTTAAGCATCACATATACCTCTGGCATGTTAATAAACATTTTCAGAAGTTTCTAGTTGCCAACTGAGAGAATTCATTAGATCTTCCTCCAAAAATACAACATGCAGCTTCTACTAGAACCACAGACCTGGATCTCCTCACAAATAAGGTAACTTCCTTTGCAGAGTTGTTGAAAGCCAAACTCCTTTTAAGCATAACCTGGCCTCCCCAAGTACACTTCTATTACACAAAGGTAAAGGAAATGGAAGGTGAAACTCCTTGATTTTTAGGCTTCTAAGAGGCAAAAGCTGTTTATCTAATTTGCCAACATCCTGAGGCAATATTTAACAAATATGTCACAAAAGAAAACTGCTGGTAAGCAATTATGCTATGAATGCAATGTTTAAGTATCAGGGAAAATCAGACATTTTCTCTTATGATCAGAAACTCTGAGAAAAACTGAAGATCCTGAACTAGGTAATTCCATTTGCTTCCTCCCAGTGTTTCCCCTCTGGCATCCTTACTGTGCTATCCTCAAAGGCCAGAGAACTTCTTAAAGCCCTCCCCAAAACTGGTTCCCCTTCATGTTGTCGTCAACCACCTTCTCTCCTTCCAAATGCTTTCTCAAAAATCAATGCCTATTTAAGCATTGCCTGCAAGATTCAAACGAAAGGGTGATAACCACGTGTTCAAAAAACATGGAGAAAAGCATGCTTTTCTTTTCTGGTCACCTACTGGCCTCAATGTTTAAAAGTTTATTATTTATCTTCATTTATTTGCCTGGGTCTTATAATTATTTTTCTTATGTAAACACTGCTAAGCAAGAGTACCAACAGCAGTTAAGAGAAAATGGCCCAGATTCTACAAATCACTAAAGGTTTTAGCATGAAGAAGAAAAAAACCTCTACATGAAGTTTTTTCTCCAAACCTAATTTAGGTTCCACATTCTAGCAAGCTGTTAGAAGGTTGAGGGAGTTCTTTTGTTGGGCTGTACTTTGAAAGTGTGCAATTTTTCTGCAATAACGAAATATTTGCTTTGAAACAAAGAGTTGTGCTAACACAGAGTTTATTCATGACAAGATTTCAAAAGCATTCTAAGGAATACATTTAATGAAAGAGAATATTTCCAAATCCTCTAGACTACTATAAAAGATTTCCATTTCTATCTGCATGCTATTACATTTTTATAACCATTCCTCAATAAAAAAAGCTTTTAAAATTTTCTCTTATGCGTAATATTTCAACTATGAATTAAGTTCATACATCTCTACAGAAGTTAATAGTTGTCTAATAATGCTATAGAATCAGATTTCTGCACGCATCATGTCTGAAGAGTCCCAAAAAAACAGTATATATTTTTGGATCCTTCTCTAAAATATCACCAGTGGTGGCACAGTCAGTAATATTGCATACACACACTGTTTTTCATATATGCACTCTACAGTCACTCCTCACCTTAAAACCATTTACGATCACATCCACATCTCCATGGCTCCCAGTAGCTTCTCCATTTTTATCAGTTTCAGGTTATTTTTTGCTCTTTACAGTACTTTGGTTTCACTGTTGCAAAGTCTAATAGTAGAGCCCAATGATGGGGAGGCATCACATTCTGTCGTGAAGCAAGTTGGAAGCAAACTCTAAATACTCAATTCCCAGAACTACAGCAATTAAGCACTATATGAAGCTGCCTGCTCCTCTGAATAGAGTAAAAATCCAAGCTCAGCATCTAGTCAGCAATAGGAAAAATAACTAAAAAACAGCACTCTCATCAAAAACAGAGGAACAAAAAAAAAAAAAAACCACAAAAAAAACACCAGCAAAAAGGGTAACAAAAAGTCAAAAGCTTCATTTGCCTTTAGAAATAAGGCATTTATATTCTAAAGAAGGTGGCAGACTACCTATGCCTGCAGATGGCCACCAGCAGCCTGTCCAACTGGTCAGGATGCTGCTCAGGTATCCCAAGACCTTCTGTCCTGTGCCTAGGCCCTGTATGTTTTGAAACTGTTTCCAGACTATACTCTGAGCTGCTCAGCTAGAGTTATCTGACTTAGAATTGGCATCACCAGCTCCTTTCCCACCAGCACCTTTTGGCTAGTGTGTGCTAATTACAAGTAGAAAAGGATGATGCTGATTGTGATGCTGGCCTCTGCAAAGACTCAACAGCTTGTGGCCACCACTTGCCTTCAGAACGCTCTAGTTTTGCAAGCTACACAACGAAACGTGGCAATAGCTCTTGCCCCAGCACCACTGCCAGCAGTTACAAGAGCAGGGGGAGAAAGAGAAATACACCACCAGCCAAGAAAGAGGAAGAGCCTGTCATGTTAACCTCATTTAAGGCAAGAACACTATCCCTAGCCCTGAGACACAAAAACCATTCGATGGGAAATGATTTTACTGCTGATGCTGCCACCCTTGACAGCAGTCACCACAGAACCTCAGGATGAATGAGCACTTTCACGAACACCAATGCAGACCTGCACATCAAAATGTGATCTCCCCTCACCTTTCAGAGGTCTGTGATGACTTCAGCAACTATCCACCTGTAGCCCAGCCCAACCCTCAACTGCAGCAAGGAGATGCCTTGTTTTGAAGCAGATACTGCTGGCCTGATGTGCAAGGCTCATGCCATGGGTGTGAAAGAGCTTCCAGCTCTCCAGATCTGGCAGAACGTCCTGGCCCCTTCTTCACGCTGCACCAGAAGAAAACCAGGTTGCATCTCTGCCTGTATCTGAACCAGACAGAGCTACAGTGTGCTTCAAAAGGCCCCCAGTGATCACCAGTTGGGCACCATATCTTCCCTGAAGCTGGGACACACCTTGGATGTGATCTTGGAAGCTCTGAGACTGAATTTCTTATTTATGTTAAATTTACATCTCACAGAACTACAGCAGTATATTTTCTTTATACTTCATGTAATTTTCATGAACATTTAACGAGAATTTTAGGAAGGAAGATATCTTATGAAAACCATGAAGAATGACGACTGCTTTTCCTGTTTGGGCATCAGGCTTGCGTGTACCTCTTGTTACTAAATCGCTTTGAAAATCAAAAATAATTGACATTTTAAAAGACAACAGCTTGTATAATGGTGCAAAAAGAAACAATTCTGAATATATAAAATTGGGAATAAGTAGAATCAGAAATAATTTCAAAGAGTAAAAAAATATGCATTATAAAAATAACAACAAAGTTAAAACAGATCCACAGCCTGTACGTGGAGCTGTGCTGGGCCTTGCAGCTGACAGCTACATAAGACTGCAGCTTTCTGATGGTCAATCCAATGTGATTCAAAGGTTGTTGCTGCAGCTCCCACTCAGACTTGGAGGTGGCTCCCCAGAGCTGCTACTTACAGCGGGACAGAGGAGAAAACACAGCTTGAGGATCTGCAACATGGCCTGGTACTGCTGTTACACAGCATTCTTGAGCATGCATTGTCAAGAAGGCCCTTGAGGCCGCTGTGCTGTGCCAGAGGAAGAAGAGAAGAGCATTTGCTGCAGCTTGTTTTTCCAGAAGGTCTACATGACTGTTTACAACCTCCAGGAGCTCTCTCCACATCTCCTACCCTGACATCTCACAGTAAGGCTTTTCACAGCATTTATGAGACCTGGTCAAGTGAGTTCCCAGATCATGGTCAGTCACAGTTGTGTCAGTTCCCTGTGCTTCTTTTCAGCCTTAAGAAATCTTCTATCCATCCTTAAGCCCTCTACCTATAACCTTTTTTTAACAGTGACAAGGGTTCTCCAAACACCTCCTATCTTCACCACTCAGACTTGCCAGCAGCAGGGTGGTTGCTAAGGATGCTATCCTTGAGGGCTACAACACCAGCTTTTTGTTGAGGCAAGAAAAGTAACAAACTATTATTGTTCTTTGTTTCGTTTCCATGGCATCAAAGACAATTTTTGCTTCCCAGGTCTGAATGCCAGGCCTTTGCCTCTAGAGAAATTCAGTCTTTGAAGAGGCAAGGGCCTGGCATTTCAAGCTGCAGAAGAATGGCCAGCTTCCTTCTGCCCCAGGCCCCCAGAGAAAAGCCACCGTGTTTCACCATCACGTGGTGTTCAGATGGCAAATGGGTGGCTTGGGGTGCATTTAGCAGGCATAGTCTTTTGAGACTGCTGCACGTGGCTCAGGACATGGCTGGCAGCCCAAGCCTTTGGGAGATACGAGAGGCTGAGGAGCGCGGGACAATAATTGAACCTGCACTTCTGAGTTTACCTCATCCCTTGCTGGACATTTCTCCGGCCTAGTGGATGAGAAAGAAGTAAAATGTGATGACTAAGAAAGACAGGTGAGTCTAGTTTTGATGCTGATCACTGTGGTTGTTCCTTGTAAGGGCGCCATAGGAAAAACAAAGCTATCTACACCAGACATGGGTGACAAAGCCTTGTGACATCAGGTCATAAACAAGAACACTTTGCCTTAAATGCCTGTGCTTGCTTACTAGTCAAACCGTCTCAGCACTCCCACTGCCCATGAAGTTCCCTGCACTGAACCACGCTTTCTGTAACAATACTGCACTCAGCCACTCGTAATATAGGCACACGTACTGCTAGGGCACAGTACCTGCCCATCATTTTCTTGGAAACCAGTTTCAGTTGTATGGTTCAAACTGTGCTGGGCTACCAGGTTTAGCTTCCTACGTGTGCAGTGGTTCTTCCCAAAGACTTCAGTGTCCCTCCAGCACAGAAGTGTTGATGAAAGCCCTCTTTACAGATCCATGTGGGCAAAGAAGGTATTGTACAGTGTAATTTAAACATTCGCATATATACTCTGTCCAACCACAAGCATTCGAACAAGAGATGGTATCAGTCAGCATGACCTACAGCAGTAGGAGATGCTAGTGGTAACAGACCAGCCTTGCCCCAGCATGACCGATGACATGCAAATAGCAGTTAGAGAAACATCAAACTGGTGTGAAGTGAGAGTGCAAGAAGGCCACACACACTAACCTTGTACACTACAGACTTAACTTTTTTAGGAGAAGGACACAAAATATCTGCATGTTTCCACTAGTATCTCCCAAGAATCACACAGTATATAGATGCAGGTCATTTCAGTGAACTTATCACTGTCTGCATGGGGTGGAACAATTCATGCAAACTCCAGTATAAAGTATTTTGGGCAGTAAAAAGGATAAGCAGTAACTAAGGTGCAAGAATTCAGGTCTGCTTAGCAACCAACATGCAGGAAGAGTCATATTCCTCACTTTCCTTAAGACACTAAGCCAAAGCACAGAGCTTGCCAATTCTTAGTGGTTCCTACCACTACCCTCACAATAATTTCAGGAGATAAGTCTCTCTCTTGATAAACTTTCAGCTATCAGCTCAGAGACAAGCTGTTGCTCACCACAACCATCATGACCCATCAGCACCATCTGCCCTTGATGCCAGCAAATCCCGAAGCTCTAAGATAAAAGTCAAATTTATGAATTATGAAGAGCAGCAAATAAAGGATATTAAAATACACATACAGACTTAGATAAAGCAAAATCAGGAAACACGGCCTTTTTTGTAAAAAGAATGAGCCAGGTGCAACACTTTGCTTGTGCAAAGTCAGATTTGCCCTAATTTGTCAATTTTGAGTTTCAACACAGAAGGATAATGGTTTTCTGTTACCACCACTTTTTTTTTTCTTGTCTTATCCCAATTAATCCCACCTTCCTTTGGATCTGCAAAGAAGGCATATGCCTTATTCAGTACAGCATAAAAGCGGAAATACTTCACCTCTCAAGCTCACATACAAAAATGCAACCTATTTCTTCCTCCTTCTCAACTACAATTAGTTTCTAAACTTGTAAAAAGGCAAAAATAGTTTTTCTTGTTCTGCGGTTCCCAAACACACTGAGGTTTTCATTCAATATAGATTCTTCCCCATTTTCAGGGGCATTTGACCCAAAGAAAGGCTACCTAGTAGGAGTTCTTGTCAGTCCAAAACACTAAACTGTTCAAAGTACAATTCATAGCAGCAGCAAGACTTCAAATCTCACAAAACATATCCCATTTGGAACATCCTCAAAATTGTACTTGTGGGCTCACACCATAAAAAAAGCTACCCTTCCAAATCAGTGGTTTTGCTTTTTTAATATTCTTATTAGGCAGTCGGATTTTATAAGGCTTCCCATTTTGCAGTCTCCTTAAAGCATTTTCAGATGTGTGCAAAATAAGAAGCAATAATCTTCTGCCCCTTTTGTCCTCACTTGATACAAACATAGAGAGACAGGAAGTTTGTAACTTCTATATTTACTACAATAGGGCAGTCATCGACAATCACACACAGTTTAGCATGACTGCAGTAAAAGTCTAAAGCAAGAACAGATAAGTCCCAAAGGAACTGTTTGGGGAAGGGCAAAGTAGAAATTTATTGAAGGTATCTTGGAACAAGCTTTGTTTGCCTTTTGTACAAGTACAGATAAGGGTGTTTCTGCTCAAGAAGGTGGGAATTACTACAGAAACTCCTCAAAAACCAAGTAGCAGCTGATCACTCAAGCATATCCAAAAGAGACATTTGAAGGGATCATGAAGAAACTTTGCTCAATTAAGTACTTATTTTGTGGGAAGTTCATCTCACACACACTCCCCCTGCCATGTGCTTGACTCCCTTCTGACTACCATTATGTGCTAGGCTAAAGAAACCAACAGCCCTCTCGCTCCCTACAGGACCAAGCAATATTCTCGTGGGAAAGTAAAAAGAAACGTTATGTTCTAGTGAAGTTTTTTTTGGTTTACCTTTAAATTCCTTTGCATGATTAAAAATGTTTATATCATCAACCGTGAGTAGAAGGAACGCATGCAAAAAAAACAGGCCTGCACTAAATCAAGCATTCTTCCTAATGCTATGGAATGCAACCAACAAGAATCAGGAAAGAGTGGCAATTTAACAGAAACACAAAATCAAAGTACTCCTCAGGCCTCCTGAAAGAAAAATTCTAGACAGTTTTTGAACTTCAAGCTCAAATATGCTTTGCCAGAAGACAGGACAATTTAATTATACCAAATTCTGGTTCAGAAAAAAAAAAAAAAGAAAATAAAGCCTACCATAGAAATAGATGCATCTTCAGAGCATTTATGGTAGAGACTGGAAATTTTTTCAGCACGCATAAGGTATTCTGCAGTCTTTCTTTTCACTGCTTCTCGCCGAGTTGGACTTGATTCACCTCAATGGAGAAAAAGAAAGTTATTTTTTCTATAGAGAGAGGGGTACTAAGTAATCAAAGCACATGACTGCTTTGATTCTACCTTTTTGATTTCCTTTGGGTTATTCATAATCAAACCTTCAGATACGCATCTTATAAAAAGCAAGTACTATGATCTCAGAGTTCTACAAAAATAACAATTTAAGCCTTGCTATAGACTAAGGTAAATAAAAAGTCTTACCTCATTTTTCTGTGATCTGATATATGTTCCTATGGTAATGTAAGAACAAACTGAAACAAACCACTGATCCGAATGTCGTACTCCAAAACCAACTCAATTAGGGAAGACACAATAAGGCATTTACAACGAAACAATAATGAAACTTGAGTTTTTCCTCATGTTTCTAATATGAGCTTTCCTATGTATAAAGGAAAGCCTGAAATGCCACCAATAGCCAGAAGGCAACATGGGAGACACCAGGAACTCCTGCTCACAGCTTTCCGATGCTAGCTGCTCCTTGCCTGTTGGCTTGGGATGACACAGGAAGAAAGGAAGAAGCACTTGCACCAACGACTTCACTTCCCAGATGGCTGAACCACCACTGTGTTATGTCTCATCTACCCAAACTCTTGCAAGAGGTGAGAATCCCGTGATACCGCACAAATTCTGTATTCACTCTAAAACCTACAGTTTATGTTTAGGCATTCACATCATGAGCAGTATATTGTTATTATAATATGACCTAACCAGTCAACCACCAAACAAAGATAAAAAAAACCCTGCGAGCCACAATTGTTATAACAGAGAATTGAGATTAATGTGCTGAGAAACAGTTAGAGACAACTGTTCCAGAAGCAGTCTGAACAATAGTAGAGACTTCACATGGCTTCGACAGTCTCTTCCAGCCCTTACTGAGGCCATCCAAGACTTGCAGAAACACAGCCTCGGCTGTGACAGGCTTCTGCACCGACAGGTGCAAGCCACCACCTCTCACAACCTGATTTTCAAACAGGGCAAAGAACTGCAAGGGTATCTGCCCTAACAGCTACTCAACATGAAAGACAAGGCAAGGAACAGGAGAGGTAATAAATTAAAGGCGCAAATACACAAGCCCTAACCAACAGCAGATAACAGAGACAATAACAAAAACTAGAACCTATAAGGCACTGATCAACGGGCCATGAAAGGAACCTCTGAGTGTAACCTTGAAGAAGTTCAGCCAGAATCTTGGTAACTGATAAGAAAAAAAACAGGATTATTGTGAGTTATCAAGAATGAGACTCATAAAAGAACAAACTTATTACGGGATGTCTGAGGGACAACCTGCTGCGTAAATGCTTGCATGCTAAACTTACTGAGAGAGGTTTTCAGGGGGGAATTGTGGCAATGTGTAAGACATTGTGAGATGTTTAAGGGCAGGATTATAGATGAGGAAAGAGAGGGGTCAAGGTGGAGGAGGGGCACAAACATGAGAAAACAGAGGTGCAAATTTCATGGGCCAACGGTGTATAAGCAGGCTGATGGTCAATATGCTTGTCCAACTGAGCCATGTACCTGACAACCACCGCCTGTCTTACCTTCTTATGAAACTCTGTTCCTCGCTATTTTCTGCATTAGTGTGCTCATTATTGTCTGTGCATAAGATACAGCAACAAACCACAAGGCAGCTAAGTGGGCAAGTCAGACAAAATGTCTGAGAGCTAGACCATGGAGCTTGGGGCCAGCTACCAGAGAGACCCAAACAGAGAGTCCTTCCCTGACCAGCAATAGTTCAAAAGAGGTTGGGCTGTTCACGCTGCCTATGGTTACACAGGTGTCTGTAAAGGCAATAGCCTTCTGCCTGTGTCAATCTGTTTGTTGTCAACCATGTCCATGGACAATATGTGTGCACATGCAAGCCCCTCTCAGAAATATGTACTCAGCTTCACTACTGGTAGGACCCAAATAAGCAGTAAGCTGCAGCCACTGTCTCTCCAGCAGCTCAGGGCAGAAGGAATCGCTCTGATCCTTCAGTCAGCCAGATCTGGCTAGCTTTAACACCAGCTCCTTAATAAATGAGAAGGAGCAGGTTGTCCAACTGTTCAATTTTCCCAAAACACTTTCTAGACGACAGAGAACAACGAAAAACTAAGTACGACGCCCCTTCAGGAAGTTAATGGAGAGTTCCTCTGTTGTAGGCTCTGCTGCTGTTTTCCCCCTACCCCATACAAGAGAAAGTGAATCACCGCTCTTGCTTTAAACAATCCTTGGACTCAGCGTGAAGAAGGCAGAGGTTCTTTTCCACTTTATGTTGCCATGGTCTACCACTAGTCATTTTGACCCTTTTATAAAGCAAAGACTCCCCCTCCCTTTCATATCATAACTACAAACTACCCAAGACACAGAACCGTCACACAGACTCCATCAAGAATAAGTAGAAGAGAATTACAATCTACTCCAAGCTTCGCTTTAAGTGACCTATTGTAAATCTTATTATCCACCTCACAGCAGGAGGAGAAAGTGATTGTCACCTCCTTGGACAGAGACACAAAGCCCTGCTCTGCAAAAACCTTTGACTAGACTTGGTTTGGGAAGAAGCTGGACAGTCAGAAATTCAGTGCATGTTCAGCATACAATGTTATGGAGACGTACCAATTTCTCAGTATTTTCTCTCATTTTAAAGGCAGATGGGACTTTGTAGCAGGTCCAGCACCTCTAATATCAGCCTCCACTCGGGAGGACTCTCTTGGTGAAATTCCCCTAGATGAGGCTGACAGTCTTATTCCCATCTAAGACAAAACAATAACTCTCAATTGTTTGAACTTAGATTTAGCTTTATCAGAAGAGAATAGATACACATCATTTTTACAAGTGTATGTTGTAATTTCTTAAAACATGACTAAGACTCTTGCTTTCATCTCTACACTTAATCTTACAACACCATAACGCTTTCTTGTGCCGATCCACTGGTGATCGCCCATATTCTCACAGACACATGAAGTGGCAATCGCTCAGGGAAAACAAGTCATTTGCACAGCAACAATAAACTCTTCAGCCAGCGTTTTCTTCAAGCAGACTGGTAGAAAACTGCTACGTTAGTGTCTAAGGCTATCATAAAAGTCAAGCTTAGTGCTTAATTGTTAGTTATGTGTATTTAGTTTGGATGTTTATTGCCTTTTTTCAATGCTTCAGTAATTTTACAGTAATTAACACAAACAAGCTAGGATGTCCCCTTAGAGCTGTCTTTGTTCTCCCTACTTTCACAAGACATTAATTTCAGTTTTCCTTCTACTTTTCCTTCCCGAGTAATTTGTTAAATAACATTTGCAAACTGTTCACTCATCAAAATCTTCAGCCATAAAAGAGGGTGTGGATTCACAAAACATTTACTCAACAAGTTCTTGCATATTATTTATGAATAAGATCATTAACAGTTCAGTCTCTGAATACTTTAATAAGTGGATGTTTGAGAACCGGATTTATGGGAGTAGGATTTTGCCTTTTTATTTTTTACATTAGTTTAACCAAGAAAATGTAAAAAGCTACATTCCAATACAAATCCCCATTTAAACAGCCAATATCTCACAAAAATCTGTAAAGAAATACAGGATATTAATTTTAAAAATAAATAAATGTTACTTAAAAAGCCTTACACAGGGTGAAGAGCAGTAATAAAGACCCTATTAAACTAAAAATAATCTTGAGCATTTATGGCAAATTTCAGGTCATGGAACACTTCGCTTAAAACCAAATAAATCACTGAAACACAGTACTAGAACAAATCCTTATATTTGACAGATGTTAAAGCTGTGATGCAGAGTTTATGCATTTTTTGCTAAATGCAATATTACATCTTGCTACGGGATAGTGTTTTTAGTTATGCAAAATGTGTACTCTCAAAAGAATTGACTAATTTATTCCTAGTTAAGAACTTTTGATTTGAACATTGTGTGAGCGTACTGAGCTCCTATTTCAAGTCTGTGGTTAGCCCACAATAATCTAAAGAGGTATCTCTTTTTAATTACAATTTAAACTTGAAAGGCATTTTTCTTTAAATGGCAGCAAACAGGAAATGTTTAAACTGTGTCAAAGCCTTTGATGAATCTTTACAACTGCTCATAAAAGATCATCCTGCTTAAAATAATATTGATTTTTCATTTATTTTCCTAGATACTAGAAGATTTACGTTTCATCTGATCAGGATCAAAGCTTCTCCCCCCTCCTGATCACTGGGATTAAATCAGCAATGTCATTTTACACATTTAAAAACTATGCTGCTAAAGCAAGATATAAAAGTGTAGCAAGGCTGATCAGAGACCTTAGAATAAAAACCCCTCAAGATTCCCTGTCTCTCTCCCTCTCTCCCCCTCTGCCTTTGCTACGGAGCAGCTGTGCCTCATACAGATTCACATGAATGAAAATATTAAGGCGAGAAACCACCCACTTAGTTTATTTTCCATATGACTTTCCTGTAATTATTTTGTAAACTGTTCACACAACAATATATAAAAACATCTGCAAAAACAGGTAATTAATGTGTCAAGCCAAACTAATGCATTTTTTATGGTGTCCATGCTTCGTCAACTGTAATTATAACTCTTTTTAAGCAAATGATGATGTGTTTGTTGCAATGTGCAAGTGGTTATTTTAGATGCTCTGTTTACTATTACTGCAAACAGAATATAAAAACTCTACAGCTACTTTGTTGCACATAGATGCCTTCATCTACACCAGCACAAGCAGGCTGCTCCCTCATTTTCCAAAGGCTTTGCCTATTTCAAAGAAGTAAGAATATCTTAAAACGAAAATTGGCTTTGGAAAGGCTGACCAGGCCACCCGCTGACCAAAGTAACAGTAGCCAGGACATTAGGACAGCAGCCAATAATTTAAAATTTGTTCTTTAATTTTCATTTCTAAAGACAGCTCAGCTACAATATATTTACAAAACCAGACGTTCCAAACAACATTCAAATGATCTTGAGGGTTTGACAGAGGAAACACACAAATATCAGAATAATTGTGCCACCGAGTTCATCTGCGA